ATACGATTATCTTTAGGAGTAATACTCTGTTATTTCACTCGTTATCACTTTTTTATATAGTCCACAAGACGTAGACCGTAAGTCAAGAGTACCATCTCCATGTACGCACATCTGTCATAGGCGCTCCTGCATCACAACCCAACAGCCATGATTGGGAAGGAATTAGGATAGGGGTTGCACTTCACAGGTGTTGAACTAGTCTTTGTGAAGTAGAAAACCTCGTTTTGTTGGAACAAATTTCAGCAAAAATGAAACATTTTACGGAGCTTTCTGATTTACTACTTTCCGAGGCATCTATAACTGTTTACTTTCTGTTGGAAGGCATTTATTAAGAAGAGACTAATTACGGTTTTGTTTGGTTGTAATTCTTCATTTAAAAGAAAATGAAAAAAAATTAATGAACTTAAAATACACTATGAGACGGTAAAAAATAATATAATGTAATATTATAATGTAATTCGAAAGAGAAGCAATCAATGAAAACTGGAATATCTAAGCAATGAAAATTGAAAAACAGTTCCATTTATGGCAAGAATGGCATTTTCAGCAGGAATTAATAAGAAAATATGTGTCAATTGTTGTCAGCGCTCTTTGCTGTATGAACAAATTCGTCCCAGCGCTCATTGACTGAAATGTGTAGATATATAGACAGAAGTGCGATATAATAATATTACGTAACCGTTTCTAAGGGCGAGAGAGTATGTACTGTTTTGGAACCACTACTTTTCAAAAATATATCATTGCACCAAGTTGCACAATTTGTATCAACAGCTCTGAAACAGATGATGCGGTCATCCGATAAGGAACTATAGAATTTCACCTTGATAAATCGTGGATTTATCAGATTGTTTCAATGTCACAAAAAGTAAGAAAACATTACGACGAATACATAAATATAGACCATCAACTGCAGTACGGCGTATATGGGCGACAGAGTTGCCTGATTTCCACTATCACGCTTCAAAAGGCAAACATGGTTTTGGATGTTCCAGTGCGCTGAATAACATTTCACCACTAAATTAACACAACTGTTAGGATAATTTCATATATATGATTGTGACGGATAATCCGTCACAATCACTTTAATAAATAACTTTAAATAAATCACTTTAATAAATACATAAATAATTATTTATGTAAATGTTATTATTAAATATTAATAATAAATTTAAAGGAAACATGAATAATAATGACTTTTTTATCAGAATTTAAAATAACGTTAACATAACACTTACAATATAAATAGAACGAAAACCTGTCATCACTGTCATGAAGCGATGGGGACAAATGCGATAGAGGAAGCCCATGTGGCGAGTTTGAATATTATGTGTGTATGGTATGGGTGAGAATGTATAATGCTGCAGCCATTTTTGAAGAAATGTTTTCAATTCCCCGCCATACTTCTTAATCGCCGAAACTTGGTAACAAAAAATTGTATACATCTTGTTTCAGTGTATGTCGCAAGTTACTTGCTCCCACACGTGTTGTTAAAAATCGATGTTTTGTGGGTCCCTGATTACGTGAAAAATCGATATCCATCTGTGGTCAACCCTAAACCGTTCTGCCGACTTTCTCCAAAATTAATATTTCTCGATCTATTTAAAGAAAATTGAGACCCTCTGAGCTTGAAAATGGATATTTAATTTTGGGGGTACTTTACATGAACTCTCGACATCATTTTTAAAGTTTTCTCAAAAATGGCCCTAAATTTTAATAAACTTTACCTCGGATAACAAAAAGGATGCTTAGAAAATGTCGCAGGTCTCATTGCCATTGAAATCGCTGATATTTTGAAAATTGCAAAAGTTGAACATTTGTTTTCGGCCTCTTCCTAAAACTACTATATAAAAGATCAAAATTTTGTTCTTTAATGAAATCTGTTCTTCAAAAACAAATTTTCAAATAATTTTACGCACATCGTTTCGAGTTTTATGTATAACAAGTTCTCATGTAACTTTCCGTGCAGTTTAGGCAGTTTTTATACAATTATTATCTCAAAATTGGCTCCAAATATTTCTTTAAATTTTCTACTTCAAAGGACGGTGAAATAATTCACGTTGGCCCCCTTTCGGGCAATTTCTCTGCATTATCGAAAATTGCATAAAATATTGAACGATAACAATAGAAAGAGATATGAGAAAATAATAGAAAAGAGCCATATTTATGATAGAGATCTTTCTTATATAAAATCTCTTCTAAAAAAGTAGATCTTTGAAAAATGTCACTACATTTTTTTGAAACAACGAGTAGTTTTCGCGTAATTTTCGCACTGCTTAAAGTTAATGTAATTTATAAAAAAAAATTATGTTCAGGTCACCATTTCGTTGAACTCCTTGCATTTTCGAAAATTGCAAATGTTAGAAATAATACAAGAAAGCATAAGCTCCTGTAGCATCACTAGTTAATATCTTTATCGACTTTACAAGACAGAACGATTACCTAAAGTTGCATATATTCCGCAACCAAATAACGCCAGCACTTCTCGACCAGTTCAATTCCGCGATATTAATCATGAGAAAAAAATGTAGATTGTAATTTGGTGTAAACATTATAATATTGTGGCAAAAAGTCAAAGAAATTCCCGGCCATTTCATAACAAAATCGTTTCGACTCTTCGTCCCTGTTTCTTGACGACTGCTCTGACCGTCAATCGGTGAGTCGTCCGGTCGCGTCGCGTCACGTCTTCGCAAATGAGAACGTATGAAGCACACTGGGTGGTATATTGACTTCCAAAAAGCTTCAAAAATAATTTCAAACCTTTTCGTAACTTTTTCTTATATGCTCTCTATTTATTAAATCAACTTTCTCGTGCGCTAACTTCATCGTTGGTCGTTGATGAATTTTTGTGTTGTTTAAAAAATTGATTATTTAATAATATTCCTATTCATTTGGAATTTTGCAGAGAGTATGTCCATTATCCAGAAAAACTAGATATTTCTTACTTTCTCGCATTTACTGTAATAAAAAGAGAAAGATTTGTAATCGTGCGCCGGGAAACGGCGAATTTTCGACACAAAATCTCGTATTGCCGGGCCCTGGTAAGGGAAAAGGATAAATCCAATTGCTAAACATAAAAAAAATCCTCTAACACGCGGTGTACCCATAATACATATTTTGTGGATCCTTCTAACCGAAAAATCGATTGACGTAAAACGTTCGTCTGTGCGTCCATCTGTGCACAACGATAGCGCATAAACCGTCAGCCGATTTTCTCCAAAATTGATATTTTCCAATTCTTCTATCTGATTTCGTGGACTCTGGGATTTGAAATCGAAACTTTAATTTTGGGGGTAACTTTACATGAAGATCCTGGAACATTTTCAATATTTTCAAAAAATGGCTCCAAATTTTTGATTAAATTTTGCTGTTGAATAGAGCAAACAACGTTTAAAAGAATGGTGCAGGTCTAATTTTCGTTGACATCCCCGACTTTTTGAAAATTAGAAAAAAAATTCAACTTCAAAATTAGAGATCGACATTTTTGTTTCAGACAAAGTCTGTTGTAAACAATTAGCTCTTCAAAAAAGTTCAAGTTCACGTATTTGAAAAAGCAGTAATTTTTTGCGTATTTTGCAATTGAAATTTACAAAAACAATTCTCCAAACCACTCCGATTTTTTTCTTTAAATTTTCTTCTCTTATGTAATAGGAAACGATACAAAATGTGGAGCTACGATTTTCGGATATTGGTCGATTTGAATTTTGCAACTTTCGCAAAATTAGGGTTTTCAATGCAAATGAGACCTCCACCATTCGCATAAATGTCCTTCATACTATCGAACAATAAAATTTTATTAAAAACGTTGGAGATATTTTTTTCGGTTTGAAAATACCCCAGGGGCTTCTTGTAAAGGAAAAGGAATAGCTAAAACTTCAAATTATTAAACATTCATTCATTTTTAAAATTTATTTAAAAAACTGATCTACATAACTAGTATAAAAAGTATTATATAACTACTACTAAAGGTGAGAATGTGATATTTTAGCTCCAATTGTTTTTCCATTCCATATGACGTGATTTTGTACGGATAGAACAAGTGACGCTTAAAATAAGGACACAAGTCTAATTTTTGTTGAACTCTTTGAATTGTCGAAAGTTAGAAATAATGCAGGAAAGTATGTGCTATCGTAACACTACTAATGAATTATTTTTATAGACTTCACAAGACAGAACGATCAGCTAAAGTTGCATATATTCCGCAAGCAGTAAAAATTAATAATATTTGTATATTGCAATTGTTTTAAATAATGTTTCATCTAAAAACGTTATGGTGTAGTTTTCTTTGTTTTTTACCATGCCAATAGGTCTTTTTAAAAAATTCCAATTTAAAGATTTTTAAATATGTTAGTACTGATTGATTTTAGAGGAGGGTTATATGGAGCAACCAACATGCAAGAAAGAGACAGGCGTAGTTCCATTCAACTCCGTTCTGCAATCTAAGGTTGAGATGCTCTATAACTGATAACACCCTATATTCAGGAAAATAATAGAAAGGCTAAAACCGCTAGGACAGGGAGAGACAACACGAAGCCCAGCTTGTATAATGCGCTGACATAACATCGCGCACGATGATACACTTGTGACGTAACGAGACGATCTTCTCAAGGTCAACAAGCGTTATCGACACACTGAAGTGCGCGAAAAGAAAGTTCAAGTACCATTTAGTCGGGAAAGTTGACGTTAAACTCGCTTCAATCCAAAGTAATTGTGACCATGCAATGTCACACATCCTCTCTACTCTCTTGCGCATCTGTGCACATATTTTTACTTTAATAAATAATCTCTTTATTAACTATCCGTATTTAAACTTAAGTAAATAAATGTAATGAATGCAATGACTAAATAAAGAGTACTTAATAAACAGGAGACGAAAAAGGAATGATTGACTTGCAGAATGTGGCGGGAACGTCTCAAGGCCGCCAAGTGTATTTAGCCCCGCCCCCGCAGAGAGGCTCGAGCAGATAAAAGGCATCAGCGCAGACACCAGAGTGCTAGTGGAGAGAGCGCCAGCCGCCATGCGAGCTCTGATCGCGCGCCTGCCCTTGCTGCTGCTCGCCCTGGGCTGTGGCTCCCAGCGGCCACACAGGCGGCGCGCATCCTGGGCATCTTCCCCACGCCCTCCATCAGCCACCAGCTGCCCTACCAGGTGAGGCACGCCTTCCTTCATTCGCTTGCTACCTTTAGGTAAGGCATGCACGCCCTCATCAGCCTCCAGTGGCCCTACCAGGTAAGGCACGCCCTTCTTCAGTCACTTGGCGTCCTTTTTAGGAAAGGCACGCAATCCCGCCATCAGCTTCCCGCTGCCCTAGCAGGCAAGGAACGCGTGTCCTTCATCAACCATTAACTCGTTAAAGTTATCCCTCGCACCTTTCGCCAGCTACTTAGTTCTATTACCATTCTTACAAAACTAATCTAACATATTCAAAAGGCCGTCATCAACCTCTATACAGTATTTGAGTAAAACTACGAGTGTGCGTATGTTCGTGTGTGTGCGGTTCCATCACTTATGACTTGACCACTTCCCGTGCACCAATTGAGACGTATGAGGTGCCATTCGACGGGTCTCTGTCTCCTGATGGGGAAATTATAATTTGTTTTCGGATCCGCCCAGCAGAATATAATAAATTTCCAAAAAGATATTTTTGCGCTGCGGTCGTAGTTATAATGCCAGGAATTAAACCAGCGTCTTCTAATTAGATGGCGATGTAGATGGCGTTGATTTAACTCCAATACCCCAACGCATTTTCGCTCAATGCGATCAATGGCTTGATTACAAAATTCATCGCGAAATTCGATCTTATGACAACATTCTTCATTGTGTTCGCCATTCTCTTTCAACAGTAATATAAGTTCTTTTCTATTACGTCTAATATAGTTATTTGTCCAAGTTCTGATGATTTCGAATATATTGAATACATTCTCTCCCGAAACTGATCCCCTGATTGCAGCAATTTTTAATACATTTCTTTTACGTGTTTTATAATCTTGGAAATAACGTGATTTATAATAGTATCTTCCTTGATTTTTACTGTAATGCTTTTTAGTTACAGAAATCCAATACCAACAAAATGCAGTTATAACAAATGTGACAGAAATTTTGAAACTAATTGGGAATGATCTGTAGTTTTGAATTTGGCATTTGTACTAATGCAGATGATGTGCATTTTTGTGCATATTCGCCAAAGAACTTAAAAATGTAGCTATACTAAAATTTAACTTCGTATTAGCATCATCAAAATCTGCAAGTATTTGCAGGTTTTGATGCAAAACCTTCAACCCAACAATTTTTACTTTCCTGTATACATACGACATTTTTACGAAAATAAACGTTTTGGGGTCCCTTGATACCGAAAAAATTATTTTTCTTCAAAACCACCGTCTCTCGGTCTGTCTGGCCGTCAGTCTGTGATTTGTTTGTGAATGAACAAATAGGGCCCAAGAGTTTTTTTCCAAATTCAAGAAACCCTTGTTCATCTTACTCGAGTCGAAGCTTTGAGATTTTGAAAAACACGATTTAAAATTTGTGAGTACTTTACATGAAGACCCTGGGGGCATTTTCAAAATTTTCGAAAAAACAACTCCAAATTTTGTCTTTAAACTTCTTGTGAAATAGAGTAAAATAAACCTATAAAGGTGGCATGGGGCCGATTTTCACGGTTTACTCTAAATTTTCGAAAATTGCAGAAGTTTGAATTTTATCTGCATTTTCCTACAACTGCAAAATTGAAGATGGAGGGTTTTCCTTGAAAAATGTTATACATTATTAGTTCTTTCAATAAGATTATGTACATTTTTCAAACTTTTGGTAGTTTTCGTGCAGTATTGCGTGGAATTAGCGCAATATTAAATATAAAAACAAGATTTACTCAAAAATGGCTCCAAATTTGTCTTTAAACTTTTGATAGTGATAGTGATAAATGTTGTCTACAAGTTGACCTAAACGTGATATTGCTCTAATCATTTGTTTTTTTCAAAAATTACAAAATTGTAATCGTTTGACTAGCCTTTTACGTCATTAATTATTACGTCTTTACGTCTATATAATTACGTCTTAAATACATTAGCAACGATTTCTTTACACCATATTTCCAAGTACATGTCTTATGAAGTCTCTCAAAAACTCAAAACCTTTATGTGAAAACGAATTCAATTTACGCATCTATAGAATATTTCTAAGGCTAAAAACGGCTAAAAATTGTTTCTTCATACTTTTCGTATGGATAGTACTAATGTTTAAGATGGCATAAAGTTAATTTTGCTGTATTATTTTTTCAAGAAATACACGAATGAAGTTTTTTTAATCTCTCACACCGTTAATATGCACATTTCTAGCTGGTTGTATACATTATTGCCCTTGTGTGTACGTCAAATGGCTTTAAACGTAGTTTACCGAAACCAAACAATTTCTGTGAAAAAAAGCTTTAAATTTCGCAATTACAGTAAAGCTTAAACTTCATTGTCTTATTAACGGACCTTAATTCTTCAATGAAAATTGTCATTAGGATGAAGTTTTACTCTTATTTAATATTATTGAAGTAATATTTCAGTTCTACTATTTAGAAGCCGAAAATTGAGAAAAGTTTTAAAAAATGTACTTTGGGGAACGATAGATGGCAGCCGGCAAGAGTATGTGGCAAATCATAATAGCTAGCCCCGACCAAAAAAATAGAAAACCAATACGAGAACGTCTGTGCCGTTCTGTAGCACCACTTAGTTTATAATATAATGCAATTTGCTAAGATTTTTATTGGATTTCACTGCAATAATTTCTATTAGAACTCTAAACCACGCTTTTCTAGTGGTTAAGTCTTCGCGCAATTGCAGAATTTATTCAACATTCAATTAGAATTTAATGATTGATGTTCGTTGCAGGCGGTGATGAAGGAGTTGGCTTTGCGTGGTCACCAGATCACCGTCATCAGTCCTGATCCACTCAAAGTAAGTTAAGTTAGTGTTATCATTTTTACGCTGTTAATGACTCCACAATTCAGCGTAGATTGTTGCCCAACGATCATCACCCTTTCAATTCAATTTATAAAGTTAACTAGTTGTGCTGCCAAAGCATATACTTTCTCGAATTGTTTCTAAATTCTCCGCAACATTATACTACTACATAAACCTGCAAAAGTGAATAGTTTTTTCGAAATTTGCACTTAAAATTTACGATTTTTTCTCAAAAACCGCTCAAATTTTTTTCTTGAAATTTTTTCCACATATGTAATAAGGGACTGTAAAAAATATGGTGAATGTGCCATTTTGGGTATTGCTTTCTTTTTAAATTTATAAAAAGTATTCAAAACTATGAAATTAAAGATAGATATTTTTACTTCAGACAAAGTCTGAACAAAATTAGCTGTTTAAAGGTCGTGTGCAATTTTTTGAATAAGTGAATAGTTTTCGTAGGCCCGAGCCCGTTCATGGGCTGTCGTGCCAAGTACATACATACATAATAGTATTCGTGTAATTTCTGTTTAAAATTAATGAAGCATATAAGGGCATCCCGTCATACATAACGACAATATTGAAATATTGCGAAAAAGTTTTTGCTGCAGTAGCACCATTAGTTTCTTTCGATAAAAACGAAAATATTAAAAATTTCCTTTCCCTGAATGTATATGCTTTAACATAATAATTAATTTTGAAATGAATGAATAACAACGCACTACAACATTTATTGATTTTCTATATGAAAGAGTATTTTTTTCATTGTTATTACAATGTTTTTTTTTTGCAGGAACCTGTGGCTAATTATACAGATGTAGACATTTCCTTCAGTTACGAATATTTTCGACTAGTGATAACTTTCGCAGACATGTCAGAAGTTGATCCTGTGACAATGCTGGAAATGATGACACCTGGCTTTATCAAACTAGTCGACAAGCAGCTTAGTTCCGAACAAATAAAAGATTTTCTCAGGTAATCGTGCCAATATTTTCGAATGATTGGTCTACATTTCGTGTTATATAAGGTTAAAATTAGAAGGTGGTTGATAATTGGGTGTGGTGTGTTAACACGTTGCGATACACTTATCACGCTCCGATGACATATTAAAAATTACAAGAATTACAGCACACGTTAATAGCAAATGCCGCTCAGGTAGCCCATATTCACAATAATTCAGTATCTACATATGTAATACGTGTAGCAGATTGACTAATGGGGCTACTACAATTTAGGCCTTGAAATTCATTTATCCTATAATTTGTGCAACACAGTATATGTCGAAGCTCCTCATTCACTATTGCGTAGGTTGTGGCACTGACGTTACCACATGTTTACAAATTGTCACCCACCAATTTTTTTTCAAAGTATAAATAGCTAATAGAAATGGTATACAATGATAAACACATTATTCTTAAGTACCGGTGTTTTCAAATTTTTCTATTTCCCCCAGAGAATACTCGAAGAATTTACAAATACTCGATTAGTTTACCTTGTTATACATTTTACATTTCTAATATATTTAGTCGAACACAGACATTCTTTATAAATGTATGAATTTGCGGATAACAACTAGCTAATACAAGCGGATAAACTAGCGAATAAACTAGCTAAAACAGGGGGGGCAGACTACATCTCTTAGACTCCATCCCTCACGTTTTGTTCCAAATACCAGTATACTTTAGCTACATTTCCAAATCGTTTGTGCACAATAAAAGTGACATCTCAAAATTGTCCGTTTTAGTTAAATGACAAAATATATTTAGAAAATAGTATTTTTTTACAATTAAAAATTTCATGAACGTAGTTCGCAGGACATGAGGGAATCACATTGTCTTTGGCTGCGAAAGAAGTGTCTCCGCTCAAAATAAAATCATTCTCCTGCAAAGTAGCACTTCTGTAGATGTGCCACTTTTCTTGAGCACCGATTACACGTATTATGATTTTTTTATAATAGTGTATTTGAAGCATGCACATTTTCCCGACTTCCGGCCTGTTCGCAGATACAACGCCACCCAAGGTTTCGACCTGGTGTTCTTCGAGTGGTGGGGATACGAGGCTTTTTTCGGGCTAATCCACGCCGTAGGATCACCGCCAGTCATTGGGATTCTGTCTTTCGGTGGAAGCATCGTGCAGTTCAGATCCATCGGCAATCCGCATAATCCAGCCGTCAATCCAGATGTATTTACTGGCTTTTCAGAGAAAATGACGTTCTGGGAGCGCGTTCAGAATTTAATCGCTATGGTTCGAGTGACAAGACAATGGGAAGGCGTAATGTTCCATGAACACGTAAGTCCTAAATTATTAACAATCTTTGAAAACCATTGTATATTCACGACCTCGAAAGTAAATATAAGAAGGTTGAAGATCACAGAATTTGGTTACCGTTCAATTCGGAGCTTTAAATTGAACGCTTTTAAACATTTCACTTTGCCGACTTTTCGGAATATTTTGATTGTATCTTTATAGCTAATAATACAAGAACAACAACACTGTAAAATATAAGACTAAGACACAACAAAGTTCATAATCTACGACCCCTGTGCATGCCCTAGAATTTGATAATATTTATTGTAAGACACCTTGCAGTTGAAGTACGTTATGTAAATAGTTCTGTAGCATATTTGAAAGAATTTTTCAACTTGGGTCGAACTATTATTAATATGACTGCGAATACGTGGACAATGTACAATTTGTTTACACTAAGATTTCAACACATTGATTCCTACATCAAATTAAAAAATATACGGTTCGCTTCATAAACAAACATGAAAAAAATCGTGAACGAATTTTTTAAGTAATCAGAATCTAGTCCGAGAGATGTGTCATATTTTTTCTAACTAAATAAAATTTTCATCATTTAAATAGACTTCGGAGTAGTCTCGACCACCAGTGTTTAAAATGAAATTACTGGACAAACAAAATCCATATTTTTAAAATATTCCCCCAGGCAAACAAATGCGATCCGAATGTCCCCTCTCATATTTTACAGATTACATATACTATGGAAACCTGACGGTACTTATAAGAACCAATCGACAAAACATCCGCAATTGTGGTAGTACTGTTTACTCGGGAGTAACTTCTTAGAAGTGCATCAAATTGATTAAACGGTTTCGGGTCGTTAAGCCCACGGACAGAAGGTCTTATTCTTAGTAAATTCAGTATAATAAGAGATCCATTGTACAGAAGATCTTACAGCAGAAGGTTCAATAACTTAAGAGATCTAAAATTAGATCCAAATGCACATGTCTAGTAGTTATGTGCAGGTGCTCCAATAGGTAGAAAGTTTTGTTATCTTAATTGTTGAGCGAATTATACCTGAGAACCGAAGTCTAAATTTCAAAAACGACGCCGAAAAGGTGTGGCGTGCTCATAATCAGCAACGAAAGAGAATTTTCTACTATTAGAGGAAAACATTAGCTTTGAAGTCGTAATTCAAGAGATCATTAAACCCCAATTCTATCTTTTTCTATTTTTATTTTTAGGATTAATTTTTAAAGTTCAGTTTACATGAAACTCATTTGTATTATTAGCTTAAATATAGTTACTTATAAACCAAATCTAATCTAAACTACAATTGACGAGGGGACTCACAGAGCTCCTCTGAAAATAATTAATATTGGCAAAAAAGTTGAGAAAAAAATGCATAAGATATCTGTTTTTATTCTAGCTTGGTTTCTAAAAATATGTTGTTTTCTAACAGGAGAAACTTATGCGAAAACATTTTGGATCAGCGCCGCCATCCGTCTATGACACATCTCGGAATCTCAGCCTTCTGATACTATGCAACCACTGGACCCTGGAATATCCGCGAGCCCTACTGCCTAACGTCCTGCAGCTGACAGGGTTGCACGTGCGGGAAGAGACACGCCCCCTTCCCGCCGACCTGCAGGCGTGGCTGGACGGCGCGGAGCAGGGCGTCGTCTACTTCAGCCTGCGGCTCCAAACGTCATGAGCAAGGACCTGCCGCCCGAGAAGCTCCAGCCATCCGGCGCGCCGCTGGCGCGCCTGCCGCAGCGCGTGCTCTGGAAGTTTCGAGAACGACGAGCTGCCGCCGGCCGCGGCCCAACGTGCGGAGTGGCCAAGTGGGCTCAACCGCGCAGGACATCCTCGGTGAGTCCTCCACCCACGACCTCAGCTCTTGGCTCACACGCCCAAAGCATCCTCGGTATGTCCTTCGCCATGGCAAAACTTTTGCCTCACACTCCCAGCGCCACCTTGGTGAGTCATCTCCTCTCGTTCTCAGCCTTCTCGCACCGCACACCCAACGCTTCATCAGCGAGGACTCCCTCCTGTCCTCAATCTCTCGCATCGCTTGCTCAACGCATTCTCAATGAGTCCTCACTCCCATCAAAAGCCTCTTTCATCACCCCCCCCCAACGCATCCTCGATGAGACATCCCTCCTGTCCTCATATCTCCACTCCTCGCATCAAACGCTCAACATCCTGGGCTTGTCCTCGCCTCCCGTCATCACCTCCGCTCCAAGCGTCACACGCCCAATCCTTCGACGGCGAGACCTCCGCCCACGTCCTCAGTTCCCTGTGTCGAGATAATTACTTCATTCTATTTCAATCTTCGCACTCAAGATGCCGTTCAATATTCCAATATTTTGTAGAACTAATTCATTGGGTGCACTTACATAGCGGAAATGCCCGCTCTTGCACATATTTGAAATTTTCTTGAAGGTTATACAAGTACGTACTTATGTACGTATATCTGCATTATTTCCTCGAACAAGTTTCCTGGAAAATTATATTTTTTTCTGCGTTTCTTGAATCACAAGAGATCTACAACCTCTATTTTTTTCTCCCGAAGTTTATATTGGATTTTTGTAGGAAGCGAAGTCAACGATTGTTGAAACGTATAAAAGCATCGAAATAATATATTTTAGATGATTGTTGTATCTTCTACGATTCTTATAACTATTTTAGTATTAATTTACAACGTTAATTTGTCTTTTCCCAGCACATCCCAAAGTTCGCCTGTTCATCACACAAGGAGGCCTGCAGAGCTTCCAGGAGGCTGCTTACCACGCCGTGCCCTTGCTAGGCATCCCCTTTATGGGAGACCAGCACTACAACGTTGCCAAGATGGTTTCGTCGGCCATCGGATTGCGGCTAGAATTAAAAGATATTACAGAGGAGTCGCTATACGCCACAATTACGGAATTGCTCGGAAATTCCGGGTAAGCTTTTCTTACACATTTCACCAGCAGTGTTATCTCAGAGTCTGCACACTGTTATCTCTAGAGCGAGAAATCTTAAGAGTTCGATATCCGAAGGTGTTGGAATTCCGATATTAGTTATATAGCTAGGTCGAATTCGCGAGGGTGGCTGTGCTGATAGATAGTTTTCTTATGTTTTCTTCTATCAATACCAGACGAATGCTGGTGTAGTACCCTATCAAACGGGCCGCAGATCACGCGCGATCTACCTTGCCATATCCTTTTCCTTTTTTACACAAACAGACACACCCGCAGTACACCTCCACACATTTCGGTTGACCAGACGGGAGCTGAGAAATTATTATGGGCCTAGTGCCGCCCCGCTTTGGCAGACACCTTAAGGCGAAGGAGCAATACCGCCACTTCCCGTGATAAAACATTCAGTATAATAATGAAACCAATGACCGTAGCAATTGATGTGGCCGCAGTGGCGTGGTGTGATGACACTCATGATTGATTCATTGATTATATCTGTTCCTGTGTTATTGCTGTTCTGTGCTATATACATTTGTCCCATAAGTGTAGTGCGTCTTTTATTAGGGAGGGGACTGTAATTATCTCCCGCTGGATGATATCCAACGCTGACCTTCACATCGGCTTAAGGGGATTTCCTGCTATAGGTGTCTTCCCCGAATGCCCCCTAGCCGGGACAAGCTCTAAGCTCCCAATTGGTCTCCCCTCATGTGTGGTAGTGTCGTGTATGTAAGTGTGAATGTGTGTAAGAAAGAGTGAGATGACAAGGATGTGGAAGGAAATATCGCGCCCGTTTGTTAGGGTTCTGCACTTCTATTCGCCTAGAGTTGAAGGGAGAAACCACAGGAATCTACCGATCAGAGCAGCCAGCCGTTAGAATTCTCCTCAGTCAACGGCTGAATTCGACATAGCTGTTTATTTAGTTACGCAAATCCTGCCACTGTCGGGACTCGAATCCTAGGACTTTCCGGTCAGAGGCACTCAGCGACATCAGTAGATGCTCTGAGTCACCTCAGCCGGTAAATGATGCTCTTAGCGCAGTGAAGTCTATTGATACGTATATGTTGAGATGAATGCGTGTGTTTGTGCGTCAGGTACGCCGAGCGCATGCGTCGCTTCTCGGGCGTGTACCGCGAGCACAAGGC